GTCTGTCTGTGTCTCCTGATACTCTCCTGTTTAATAGTGATTGTACTGGTAATGATGGTGATAGTGGTGCTGGTGATGGTGGTAGTGTTACTGGTAGTTACCTGGTACTAGCGGTGATGGGTGGTACTGGTGATGGTGGTAGTGGTGCTGGTGATGGTGGTAGTGGTACTGGTAGTTACCTGGTACTAGCGGTTATGGGTGGTAGTGGTGCTGGTATAGCGATGACAGGTGGTACTGGTGGGAGAGCAGTACTGGAGACATTTGCCTTAGTTATCTTGGTCTTGTTATCGTAATGTTATCTTAACTATCAGTGCCTGGGCGGGCGAGGTACAGTGTCAGTGTTGTGTGACCCAGGTGATGTGTGGCAGAGATAGAGACAGGCAGAGAGAAAGATAAAAAATGGAGAGAGATTGAGAGGATGAAAGATGAAAATGTGAGAAAGAGAGAGAGAGAGAGAGAGAGAGAGAGAGAGAGAGAGAGAGAGAGAGAGAGAGAGAGTTCAACAATTTCGATCCTCCTACCCATTAGATATCCCCATATATCCTCCTACCCCTTATATCCCCATATATCCTCCTGCCCTTATATCCCCCATATATCCTCCTACCCCTTATATATCCCCCTTACTCCCCCTCCCTTATATCCCATATATCCCCCAAGATCCTCCCTGCCCTTATATCTCCTCATATACCCCTACTCCCCCTTATATCCCCCATATGTCATCCTACCCCTGACCTCTTCCAGATAAATATCCTTTTTATTACTGGAAATTTGGAGAATCCTTTTTGTCGTGTATTTTGGAGATATCCCTGACAGGGGGTGAGGAGGAGGGAGGGATAGGAGGTGGAGGTTGGGGAAAGTGGGAAGGAGGAAGAGAAAGGGATGAGGTGGTGAGGAAATGAGGGAGATTGGGGTGAGGAACGAGAGAGTGAGAGGAGATATAGAGGGAGGGGATAGGAGGGGAGGAGAAGGGAGGAATGGTGGCTGGAGATGAGGGAGAAGAAGAGGAGGTAGTGGTGAGGGATAGCTGAAGGGACGAAAAGGAGGTGAAGGGTAGTTGGGAAGGAGGGAGGAGGTAGGGAGGAGAGGGAGGTAGGAAGGGGAGGAGGAGAGACAAACTCAGAGACCGATAACAAAACACGTGATCCACTAAGAGGGAGAGAGAGAGAGAGAGGGGGGGGGGAGGCAGAGTCTCTCATTGTCTTAGTTCTCTCACAAGCAGCAGTGAGAGACCCAGAGAGATGATGATGAGACAACCCCAAAGAGACTGACCCTCCTCCCCTCCCCTCCCTTAACACTATTATTGTCTGCTGCTCTACCCCCTTTCTTCTTCTTCTTTGTGTTAGCTCTAAGTTTTCTTATTTTTATCTATCTCTTGTCTGTTATCTTTTTTTTTATTCCCTTCTTTTTACCTGTTATTTATCTTATCTTTTCTATTATCTTTCTTATTCTCCTCCTTTACATTCTTTTGCTTCCTCATTGTTCATTCATCATTCATTTTTCCTCTTATTAATATCATCTGTTTCTTTTCCTTCTTATTCCACCCCATCATCTTAGGAAGGGTCTCGGGGCGGCGGGGGCGTCAGGGGGTCGTGTTAGGGATGTTTTGTGTATGGCTGGGGTTGTTTGGGGGTCAAGTACCTCCAACAGGGCGTCCGTCATATCTAAGGTATCCGCTGCCTCCTAGTTATAAGATTTCCCACCAACTTTTACCATGAAACTCGCTACGTGATCTGTAATGAAGGAAGGTGAAAGTTTGTTATGACACGCCAACTTTTCCACTAACTACCTCCGTGTGTGTGATGATGATGAAACTCGGGGTGTGGATTCTCAAAAAGGGGTAGTAGGGGTTGTTTTAGTAAAGCTCCACTAATAGAGTCAGGTTAGAGATAATTGTCTAGTTATGGTCAAGACTTTGTACAATTGACCCGTCGATTAAGCTTCTCTCACCTTTGTCTCTCCTTAACTCGGAAGATGTTGATTGGCTGAAGGAAGGATTACGTCACCACATCTAGGAATTCACCTACATTTATTCTTCTTGAGAAATTGAAGGTTTATGTGTGATGTTAGTTCATGAGTTGGTTGGTATATATTTATGGTGTGTGTACTGCATAGTTTGTGGTAGTACATCGTTAACAACGGTCGTCAGCTGTTTGTTTATCTAGTCCAACAGTTAAGTCAATAGAGTGTTTATACGTGATTGGTTCTATTGTTTATAAAATAGGAGGGGCCGTCAATAGGTCAACTGTGACAATGTTTTGACCTGGAGCTCCGTATCGTAGTTAGGTCTAGTCAAGGGCAGAAAATCAACTTACGAATGACCCTCATAAACCTTCACATTAGTTGATGGTAAACAATGTGTCACCTGGTTGAAATAGTTACACCTCTACCTGTAATGTTGTACCCGAATAAACTTTTTTTTTATTTAGCTTGTATTAATTGATCAACTGCCGAACTTTGAGAGGACAAGACAAGCACTGGGCAGACCAAGATGTCAAGTACTGTACCATTACAACCGTGTGAATATAGTGCTATGTTGTGAAGCATCCAAGGTGTAACACGTGTGATTTAAGTTAATTTTTTGTTTACATTCTCATAAAACATACTTAACTGTCAGGGAGGGAGAAGGAGGGGGAAAGAAGGAAGGAAGGAGAGACGGAGGAAGGGAGGGAAAGATAAAGGAAGGAAGGAGGGACGGAGGGAGGAAGGGAAAGATAAAGGAAGGAAGGAGGGACGGAGGGAGGAAGGGATGGATGAAGGAAGGAAGGAGGGACGGAGGGAGGAAGGGATGGATGAAGGAATGAGGGAGGGAGAGAGGGACGGGGAAGGAAAAAACAGGAGGAGGAGGGAGAGGTTCCAAGTGGCGGGCGTGTCCTCCCAAATTCTTCTAAAAGACACTACTCTAGGTGTGCCTTACATTATGGCCGCCTAAACTTACTAAACTTTCTTAATTAATGGATGATAAGTTACTCGCTAGCACTGCTGATTCTCACTGACTCGAACGCCTCTGAAGATGTCTTGAATAAAGACGAAAGCTAAGGTGCTCCGTTGTTTCCCTTTTCCCGTGTGATTTTATCAAGATTTATCTTATCCACGTTCTCATTGTGGATCTACATGAAATATATATATATATATATATATATATATATATATATATATATATATATATATATATATATATATATATATATATATATATTTCATTAGCCCAATAAAGCACGCGGACTTCTACATACAATCAACACTTCACAGTAATCAGTGGCTGGACAAACTAAAACCAAATTCTACTTCAGTTAATTTTTATTATGAACTAGTTTGTAACTCACATCACGACCACACTCACACAACAAAGTTATCTCCTACCACACACACACACACACACACACACACACACACACACACACACACACACACACACACACACAGATATACGAGTAGAGACAGACAGCCAGACAGACATATATAAAGAGAGAGAACGTCCACCAGCCAGACTTAACTTGCTCATATTGTTAGAATAAATCGTCACAGTTTAAGGGTCAGCGTCCTGTATAAAGCTAGTGCGGGGGACCTTAAAGGGTTGGCCCTAGCCCTCACCCAGATATACGACCCTCAGGGCTTTAAATAGCTGACCCTCGGGGCGCCAGCTTGAGTTCTAGATAAAAATTGAGGTTTTATCTTGTACATTATGACGTCATGGCTGACGTCATCAAATACTCCGAGGAAAGTCCATGAACGCTTGTTGACATTTCCGTGGAAGACAAGATCATCCCTAGGTTTATTTCCCCATCTCACTAATTAATTGTCTAATCTGTGTATTTCTGTCGTACATTACATATCTAGCGTTATACATTTAAGTATCTGTCTGTCTGTCACTGTACTGAATGTGAAGCTCTCTCTCTCTCTCCTGGTGTAGTTATGTCACGTCGCCTCACAACAATAATTCACAACAAGTTGAACAATAATTATGTCTGTGTGAGTGTTGTGTTAACTTTTGTGTTGCTACTTTGTGTTTGTGTTTCTGTGGCAGTGTTGGTATAGGGGCAGGCGAAGCATCGTTTGGCGTAATTTCTATAACTATGTCCACGGTTATTGGTTGGAGAACGTGCGTCTGGCGTAGTTCCTTATGTCTATCATTGCTTAAAGTTGTATATAAGGTTCAAGGACCAGGAAGAGAGGCAGACAGACAGACAGAAACTCATCACCTGGAAACTAATCAACTTATCGTAAAACCAGAACGGTCCCCCCCTCCGCCATCACCACACGTCAGAAACTTTATAAAGCCTCTCACACAGTTGATAATGAACTCTTGACACCTCTATCTGATCCTCCTCCCTTCACCTGGACCCTCGACTGTCACTTGTTCCCGCCCGCGATAATCCCATAATGCACTCTACCTTTATACCCCGACAAGTCTTTTCTTTCCCAGGAGAAACAACGCCATCATTAGTGTCATCATCCTGTGTGTATATATCAAACTATCAAGACTTAATTTTACGTTGATTACTTCTGCTTAAGTTTATATTGAGGTAATGGCTTTGTTTTGGCAAAAAAAAAGTGTCTGTGTGTGTGTGTGTGTGTGTGTGTGTGGGGGGGTCTCTGTATGATGTTGTTTCTCCTGTGGAAAAATCTAGTTGTGGGGGTTACAATGGAGGCCAACGCGGAGCCTATAAATGTAAAGGGAATTACTAACCCTCGCTGGGAGAGAAGAGGATAAAGGGAGTGAAAAGGTGAGGGAAAATATAAAGAAAAGAGGGAGATGAGAAGGATTAGTGAGAGATATTGGGGGAGAGGGGGACATAAGCGTCGAAGAGGAGATAAAATGGAGGAGATGAAGAGGGGAGGAATTTTACCGGACTAATAAAAATGAAATCTGTTTACAGGCTTTGTACCGCTGACAGAACAACATTGGCGCCACTGACAGCCACGACATAAACACCAACAACAACAGCAGCAAAATAATAATAACAAATAACAAGAATAATGAGAGGAAAATAACAAAGTTGTATTATATATGATTTATATTATGGTGGTAACGTAATATACAAGAGTCCATTTTATTAATACATGCTAGCAGTGATATACAGGATTCTACATTGACACACTGAGAAATTTACTCTTATTTCTTCACTCTGCACATCCAGAGTTCACTTGTCTCTCGTATGTGGGTTACGCTGCTGTAATATGAAGGTAGGCTGTGTGGCTCATGACAGTGATGCAGTGATTGCTGTTCGTTCTTGATTAAGTCTCTAACAACAGTGAATGATCAGGTTATATTATATTATGACAGTGAAAGGACAGGTTAGATATAACAGTGATATGACCTTAGTGACATAACTTAGCATACGTTAGCAGTGAAGTTACATTTTCTTCAGCTTTAGGTTCTACTGTGACACATTATAACACAACAGTGACATGAACACTTCAAAGCTGATCACAGTGAAAAGTTCCTTGTTTCATTAAATCACTGTTAATAATAAGTGGAAAAACAGCTTCACAATCCCACATCAGATGGCAGTGAAACGACACTAAAGTACACCTCACAGGACCCTATTTTTCTCTTTTGTATTTATTTATTTACTTGTTTACAAACTTTATATTTCACACATGAGGACAGGAGGCAGAGACACCGACCACCTTACTCAAACATTCCACCTTCAACTAAACACCGAAATATCTGAATTCCTCTACTTTTCTGAACTTCGAAATTTTTTAATTGAAAAAAAATGCTCTGCAAAAATTCTAACCAAGGAAATTGAAGCACACAGCACCCCCTCTGATTGGCTGGCTGCTCTACCGGTATACACACAGAGACCATATATTTAACAGGTATTATACACATACAAGGTGTTAGTTAGGTGAGGCAAGGATGTTTAATCACTTCACTAATTTCGTTGAAGTTGTGAATTTTGCAAAACTCAGAAATTTCACTTCATATTGGGTAAGATGTGTTAAGAGGGAGAGGAGAGAGAGAGAGGGGAAGAAGAAGAGGAGGGAAGGAAGAGGTGGAGAAGATAGAAGAGTGATGACAGGAAGGAGAAACCAGGGGAAAGGGTAAGAGTGAAGGAGGGAAGGGAAGATAGAGGTGGATGAGAGACAGTGAGGGTAGGAAGGAGAGACGAGGCTGGTGAAGGAGGGGTACAGGAGGTGATCATCACGGAGTAGAAAAGAGAGAGGAAGGAAGACGGAAGGCTTGGTGAAAGAAGGGAGGGAAGAGGGGGTGAAAGAAGGGAGGGAAGATGGGGTGAAAGAAGGAAGGAAACAACGGCTAAGGGTTTGATATAAGGGTTAAGGGGTAAATATAAGGGCTAAGGGACAGATATAATGGTTGAGTATCAGTGGACAAGGGCCTGCCTGGTCTTGCCCTTACGCCTCTTAATGGTTCTGTGATACTCATGACGTCGACGATCAAACTCCCGGTAACACGCCTGGTGGAGAGACCATGTTGTTATTGTTGTTATTGTTATTATTGTTGTGTTGTTGTTAATAGTAGAAGTAGTAGTTTGTATTTTTAACCAACCTCATATTTACTGTCATGTATAACCTACATATAATTACAAACATCTGTACATATGCATACACACCTGGCTACATGTTTACATACCTGGAGGAGGTGTGGGTCACAGGAGGTGTTGATGAAGTCACGTATCTGGGCGTAGGTCCAGTGGCTGATGTCAAGTGGATGACCGGACCCTATCTCACCCTCACCTGCTGATGACCTGAAAGAGCACCTGTGTTAGGTCTATCTATCTATCTATCTATCTATCTATCTATCTATCTATCTATCTAGCTGTCTGTCTGTCTGTCTGTTTGTTGATCTGGCTTTTAGCAAAAAAAATTTAGAACAGACGAGACGGTTGCTAGGGACAAGTGAGGGGCATAAAGTCAGGAATGAATATATGTGAGAAGAAGTGTGAAGGGGTCTACTAGTGGTGTTAAGTGATGATACATGGGTGAATGTAAGTGGTTCACTCCTGAATATTAAGAATGAAGTTAAAACAAAGTATGATGAAAGAGGGGCATAATAATAATAATAATAATAATAATAATAATAATAATAATAATAATAATAATAATAATTAAGGGTTTATTGAAAGAGCATAGCAGCCTTGAAGGATGAAAATATACAGTTACATAATTGGGGAATGGGTCTCTTGATTTACAAATAATATACAAGTAACATAAGTGAGACAAATATGTATATAATAACTAGGTGGGGAGAAGCTCAAACTACAGGGCATTTCAACATAGTGACAGTACAAAAAGTAAGATAGACTGGGAGTGAATACACTGGTTGATTACAAGTGTGTGTGTGTGTGTCTTACATAAGAAGTACAATGAACAGCACCGAGAACCTGTCGTGGTCGTTGAGGTGTGTGGCGGTGGCCAGGTGGTGGGCGCTGTGTTCATGTAGTGTGGTGCAAGCCAGCTTCATGGCCAGCTCATGGTCCTGCTGCTCCTGCTCCGCCATCTGCATGTGCTGCTGCTGCTGCTGCTGCTGCTTCTCGATCCACTCTATCTCCTCACCCTGAGACGCGACAAATGATCCTTCAATATTTTGTTGATAGTTGGAGCGTGAATAGACTGTAGACTTTGACATAATTTTTGTTTTTATGGTGAAACATTAAACATTTTGTGTATAAATATATATATATATATATATATATATATATATATATATATATATATATATATATATATATATATATATATATATAAATCACACAGGAAAATGGAAAGCTAAAAGGTGTCGTTGTTTCCCATTTTTCGTACCATTGTGGATCTACATGAAATAAATAAATAAATATATATATATATATATATATATATATATATATATATATATATATATATATATATATATATATATATATATATTGTGTGTGTGTGTGTGTGGTTATCAGCATATACCTGGATCTCGACTTTAGCAAAGCCTTCGACAGAGTCCCCCACGAAAGACTAATTAGAAAGGTAGAAGCACATAGCATCAAAGGTAATATCCTTAAATGGATTAGGGCGTGGTTACAGGACAGGAAACAGTGAGTGAGCATTAATGGCACTAAGTCCCATTGGAGCAACGTCACAAGTGGAGTTCCCCAAGGCTCAGTACTTGGACCATTATTATTTATTATATACATAAAACGAGCATAGAATATCCGGCATGAGCAACCTTTTATACATTGACACTAAAATAGGACGTGTTATTAAAATCTGTGAGGACTCCACAAAATATATATATATATATATATATATATATATATATATATATATATATATATATATATATATATATATATATATATATATATATACTAAACTTATAAGAACATATAGAATGGAGAAAACACGGCGGCCTATTGGCGCCTGCTGGAGCAGTCGTTTACCCAACCCTGCTCCTGCAGTAAGCATCAACCTATGTTTGAAGCTGTCAGCGTGTCCGAGTTAATGATGTGTTACGGTAACTTGTTCCATTCATCCCGCCTCTGTTTCCCAGTAGTGTTTACCCTGTTCCGCCTAAATCTAAATTTGTCTAATTTAAAACCGTTGTTGCGAGTTCGCTCCTGGTTGGATAGTTTGAATACCTTTGTAATGTCCCCTTTGTTTAACCCTGACTTCCATTTATACACCTCTATCATGTCGCCCCTCACTCTACGTCTCTCAAGGGAGTGCAAATTAAGATTCTTTAACCTGTCTCTGTACTCAAGGTTCCTAATGCCCGGGATTAGTCTTGTCATTCTCCTCTGGATTCTTTCCAAGGATTCTATATCCATTCTGTAATACGGTGACCAGAACTGAACTGCGTAATCCAGGTGTGGTCTCACAAGAGCAAGATACAGTTTTAGGATGACCTCGCTAGTCTTATAACTAACACTCCTTTGTATGAACCCAAGTACTTTATTAGCCTTGTTACGAGCAAAAACACATTGTTTACTTGGCTTAAGGTTCCTACTACCTTGGCCAGCGTCATAAATCTCGGAGACACAAGGTAACAGAAACAAGATAAGAGACAACAGTTCACCTCATCGTTTTAAGGAAGATTGAATTTGTGGCATTCCTCAGAGCGTGAGCTACACAAAACGCCAAAGAAACATCGAAGGAACCAACTGCTCACCCTGAGAAGAGGCGTGAGGTGGTGGGCGGCGCAGGTGTGCTCCTTGGCTGGTTCTTCACAAGTCCTGCACCACATGTCCTCAAAGTTGTCCACAGCCGGGGGAGCTGACGGTATGATGTCTGTGGAATCCTGCTGAGGGACTTGGGAGATGCTAGGTGTCTGTCGGGGAGCTGGGGAGACGCAAAGTGGTTTTGGGGGACTTGGGGAGAAGAGAGGATTAGACTGCTGGGTGGATGAAGGCACGGCCGGCGGCCTTTGGTTGCGTGGCTGCACCGGTAGCCCAGGAGGCGAAGGATGAGGGGAATGGGAGGAAGGATCAGGAGGAAGAGGGTGTTGAGGCAGATGACCATCCCGAGAATGTAGATTGGGGTATAAACGACCAGCAGAGGGATTCGGGGATTGGAGAGACGGCAGCGTCGGTAGATGGTGGTGGTGATGGGGGCTGTGGGTGGGGGTGCCAGGAGAGGAAGGAAGAGGAGGAGGAGCAAGAAGTGGAATAGATCTGTCGGGAATCACAGAGAGTGAATTCTTCGATCGTTGGATATTTACAGGAGCCCGACGACGGTTTAGGAATCTAAAGCGGCGTTTCGGTTTTGTTACTGTTAATGGTGGAGGTGGCGGCGCTACCTTAACCCGGCGGTGGTGTTTCATTGACAGTGGTTCTGTGGATTGGTGCTGGTACGTGTGAAGGTATTTGTGACGGTGTTTGTCCTGTCTCCCATGCTGGTAAACCGGTACTGTCACTGTCTGTATTTGGTCGTGCTGTTGGTTGTCCAGCCAATGAGGCAACACTGTGACTGCCTCCTGCTGCTGCTGGTCAGGCTGTTGTTCCCCGTGATGAAGAGCCTTCAAGCGTTCCAGGTCCCTCAGGTGAGCTAACACGTACCTGTGTACAAGATGATGTTTGATATATATATATATATATATATATATATATATATATATATATATATATATATATATATATATATATATAAGAACATAAGAAAATAAGGAGTCTGCAATAGGCCGGTTGGCCTGTGCATGGCAGCTCCTGTCGAGAGTTACTACCACTCTCTACCATCCATGAATCTATCTAGCCTCCTTTTGAAACTTTCCAAAGTTCCAGCACTTACTACAAAGTTGCTAAGCTTGTTCCACTCGTCCACCACCCTATTTGTGAACCAGTTTCTTCCTATCTCCCTCCTAAACCTAAACTTATCCAACTTGAATCCGTTGCTCCGAGTCCTATCCTGCTCGGATATTATAAGAACTTTATCTATAACCCCTTTATTGATTTCTTTCACCCACTTAAATACTTCTATCATATCCACGCGCACTCTTCGTCTTTCTAGGGAATGCAAGTTAAGTTTCTTTAACCTATCCTGATATGGAAGGTTTCTAAGTCCCGGAATCATTTTTGTCATTCTTCGCTGCATCGACTCTAGTGAATTTATATCCATTCTATAATAGGGGCACCAGAACTGAACCGCATAATCGAGGTGCGGCCTGACTAGCGCAAGATATAGTTGCAATAAGACCTCTGCACTCTTGTTACTTACACTTCTAGATATAAACCCAATACTCTGTTTGCCTTATTTCGAACATTAACGCACTGTTTTCTAGGCCGTAGGTCGGGCTTACAAGTACCCCTAGGTCTCTTTCACAATCGACTTCTCTAGGTTGATGTTATTGGGCTATATACTTCTCTAGGTTGATGTTGTTAAGGCTGTATACATTATAAGTGTTGTTCTTCCAATATTAAGTACGCTGCACTTTATATATATATATATATATATATATATATATATATATATATATATATATATATATATATATATATATATATATATATATATATATATTTCATGTAAATCACAATGAAAACGTGGATAAGATAAATCTTGATAAAATCACGGGAAAATGGAAACAACGAATTACCTTAGCTTTCGTCTTTATTCGAAGACATCTTCCAGAGCAACTGGATTACATGGACAGAGAGAGCAAATATAGGGTGACCTAAAAGCATGAGGTCAGGTCACTTAATGATGACATCCACTAATCCCTCTGTCCATGTGTCCGGTGCCTCTGAAGATGTCTTAGATAAAACAACTAAATTACTCTGATCTATCAAAATATATATATATATATATATATATATATATATATATATATATATATATATATATATATATATATATATATATATATATATATATATGTGTATATAAGTCTCCTGTACTGATAATTATTGTTAACGCACATATTACTCACATAGTTGTCTTATTTCGTTAGTTTAAAGTACTATACATACTATGGTATACGCCGTAAAAATTCTTCCATATTTATTGTCTGCTTTTGTGGTATATCACAAATGTTTCTTTTTGTGTAATTAAAGACACCGCGCTTGCCTCCCAGTCCACCCAGCTGTAAATAGGGACTTAACTTTACATGGTTAGGAAAGTGAAGGCGGTCGAGTGTTGTGGTGGCCACGCTGCTCCTAACATATGGGACTCTCTTTCACATTCAGAGAAAGTAAGAACTACAGATTTACGACGAACATTTTAAGAATCAGGAGGTAAATCACCTGTTAGTTTGAAGTCGATCAGTGTTCATGTTTTCCCGACAGAGAGGACACATCACCACCTTCCCCTTGGGCACTTGTGGTTTCTTTGACCTCTGACCTGGATCTGAACCTCGCTGGCTGTTGTTGGGGTAGGCGGAGGACACTAGGTCGACGACGCAGGAAGCGCAGAGGGTGTGGAGGCAGGGGGTCATCTTGGGGGTGTGGAGGTCCTCGTTGTAGTGTTCCAGACACACGGGGCAGTCCAGACTTTCCTGAGGGTCAGAGGTCATCACTACCCTGGTCACACACACACACACGCTTAGCATCCAAGAGTATATATACTGTATAATATAAAGACTCCACCATTAAATTCCCTGACAGTGTAGCGGAGTGGTTACTGTACTGGGCTGGCAATCCTGTGGGTTTAGGTTCGAACCTCCATTTAGGAAGTTTAGTAATGTGTGAGTGGCGCCGTCGTGACAGTGTTAGTAACTCAGTTGGTGAGTGTCCGATCTGTCTGGGTCACTCTTTGACACTGGGTGACTGGGCCATTCAGCTCGTTAACTCAAGGTGTGGTTATTGTGTTGGCAACAATTTCTACACCTTAAACAAACTCACTCCTCGTTAGTCTTAGTGCCAGCCAGCTTCCAACACGAGGGCCAACAATTATATGTATGTATGTATGTAGTAGTGTATGTATGTATGTAGTAGTGTATGTATGTATGTCAGGGGGTGACCTCATTGTAGATGCTACTTGGTGTTAAGTCAATGCCTCTGTTACATTGTGTTATCGGAGGTAAAACACACACACACACACACACACACACACATACAACAAAAACAATAACACCTATTGTTTCTCTTACCTCATCATCCATTATCTTGTATTTCTTCTTTATTATCTACTTTATCTCCACTTTCTCTTCTTCCATTGCCTTTTTATCTTCTACATGTCTTCTCTCTTCCTCGTGCCCGTCTTTACTCACAGTTCATTATGGTGTTATTTTTGATAAGTTATTTACGACTATTAACTGAAATAATAATAATGTAATACTACTAATAATAATAACAAAAACAATAATAATAATTATAATAATAATAATAATAATAATAATAATGATAATAATAATAATATTTCCAATACTTTATCATTCAGTCAGTTCCTATATCTTTGTTTTATTAATTAAATCGTAGTATAACAACAACTACTAAAACATTGTCCATAAATATTTTTTTAGCTGAAAGTTTGTTTTATATTAACTTATATTGATACTTTTGAAACGATTCATTTTCTCTCAAAAAATACCCATTGTCTATTTTGTTCAAGTGTATAATATTATTACTTTATTATAATTATTATTGTTATTAGTAGTAGTAGTAGTAGTAATATCAGTATTATTATTATGTTATTATTTGTATTATTTATTTTCAAACTCATAGATACTAGTAAAAGCTAACAAATATTCTCACAAGCGCTCACAAACTCATAATCGCACTAGTGATTTTTCAATAAGATTTCAATAGCTCTGCTCAAAAATGATCTCACAATAACTAGACGATTTGTGAGCACTCAGGTAATTTCTCATAATGACTCAGAATCTTGTGAGCAGTCCAGTACCTGTTCACAGGGTCTCAGAAACACACACAGTACAGTATAGGTTCTCACGACGATCTTAGCCTGGCGTGAGCACAAAATGGTCTCAAAATGGATTCTGTGAGTCGATCTTAGATACGTCACAGTGGCTTTAGAATTGGTGACGGAGACGTAACAATACCAGTAACAAATCACGTAACACACCGATGACGGGGCCGTAACACAACTGGTGATGGAGGGACGTCAGACTGTGTGTGTGTGAGACAGCGACGGTGAGTTTGTCTTATCTAACCCCCACCCTCCTCTCTCTACCCCCCCCCTTCCTCTTCCTCTCACCCTCACCTTACTCCCTATCATAGTTGCTCTTCCTCCATTCATTCCTCATCTTCCATTTCTTCCTTCCATCCTTTTTTTTCCCTTCCCCCCATTTCCACCCCCATAGTGCCACCACCACCACCACCACTCCCCTCACGTATTGTTATCATGTCCCGGGCTCCAGCTAGACTGTGATAACAAGTGACGAGAGATAACTACCATAGTAACACACGCCAGACCCATGATGTCACCTGCTGATTGAGGTCATCTTGTAATAGTGTTCGTTTGTCTGTTAGGTTAGGTTAAGGTAGTATATATATATATACATCTCCTTAGAACCAAAATGACAACCACAATACAAACAATAAAATCGGAACTAAGAAAAAAACGCAAAATTCATCAATTATATTATTCTCTCAATAACTGCCATCACCACTGGTCTTCTCCCCCCTTTGACCTCACCTGACCCCTCCCTCCCGCCCCGGAAGGTCAACCAGGTGAGGTCAGACCATAAACCCACAATCCTCACCTTCCCTCCCTCGCCGTGCATCTAATTAATGAAACCTAATTTCTATAATGTTGAGTATTATTACCCCCGTTTTGCTTATTTACTACCTGGTCTAATGTTTAGGGATACGGGTTCAGAAGTTTGGATTCGTGGGTTCGGGTTCAGAAGTTGAGGTTCATGGGTTCAAATTCATAGGTTCAGATTCATGGGTTCGGGTTCATAGTTTCGGGTACAGGAGTTCAGGTGTTTGGTTTCAATATTTCAGGGTTGAGGGTTTCGTGTTTCGGATCATTGGGTTCATGTTTGGGTGATCGAGGTTCAATTGGTTCGGCTTCAGGAGGTTCAAACTCAGTGGTCCGGTACAGTAGTGGATTTTCGACCTGACGTGACCTGACCTCTCCGGAAGAGGTCACGGACAATTAGTCGCTATTTGCAGCTCAAATTAATTCTGACGATTTGATTTTTTTTCTCCAAGAAACTCAAGATCACAGTGAGACTTGTCGGCGTTTGTCCTAGGGTTAAAGAAAGCAGCCACCAAATTTATATAGTACTGTATAGTCTTTTATGAGTTTATATGAATTTATCTGAGTATTTATAAGTGTATACGTTTTTCTTAGAATGTGTATGAATTGACGTGACTTTTTTAGAAATGAGTTTATGAAGATACAAATATTTTTACCTGTGTATGCACTTCCCTTTCCAACTCTCTGTCTACCAACTTTCCTCCGCTTTCTACATCCCTCCATTTCTTTCTCGCCTCCCCTCTTCCCTTTCCATTCTTCCTTACCTTCCCTCCTTTCCCCTCCTCTCCCTCTCCATTCTTCCTTACTAACCCCTTCCCCTTCCTTCTTTTCTCTTCTTCCTTACCTCCCCTCCTTTCCCCTCCTCTCTCCCTCTCCCTTCTTCCTTACCTCCCCCTCTCCATTCTTCCTTACCAACCTCTTCCCCTTCCTTCTTTTCTCTTCTTCCTTACCTCCCTCCTTTCCCTTCTTCCTTACCTCCCCTCCTCTCCATTCTTTTCCTTACCAACCCCCTCCTCTCTCTCTCCATTTTTCCTTACCTCCTCCCCCTCCCCTTATCCTTCTCCCTCCCCTTATTCTTCTCCCTCCCCCCTTCTTCTCCCTCCCCCACCTTCTCCCTCCCTTCCACCCAGAGCAGCTAGGGGCAGTTCCGACGTAGTTAACGAGGTGATGGGAAGGAGAGAGAGTGGGGGTGGGGAAATGAAGGGGGTGAAAGGGAATGAAAGAGGAATAGGAGAGAGAGAAGGAAGGGAAGAAGGGAAATACGAAATCAGGAAGAGAAAAGGGCTAACCTGGGGAATGAAGAAGGAAGGGAGGAAAGAAAAGGTTAAAAGGAAGGAAGATAGGAGAGAAGGGAGAGGAGAAAATGAAGAAGGGACGGAGGGAAAGGAAAGGGGACGTAGAAGAGAAGAAGGAAAGGGGGAGGAGGAAAGAAGGAGGGAGGGACAGGATCTAAGGTCACCTGTGAGTCATTTCTTGGTGATTAGCTTCACCTGAGACACTTATTGATTACTGCCGCTAGGGACACAAGGAGGAGGGGGGGGGGAGGAGAGGAGAGGAGAAGGGGGGTATAGAGAAAGAGGAGGAAGGAGAGAAGGGGAGGGTGAAGTGAAAATGGAGAAGGAATAGGAAGGGGAGAAAGAGAAGGGGGAAGAGAAATTTGTAATAGGAGCTGGCCAAAGTGATAAATATAGGCAAGTTTAGGGACAGATCCAAGCTTAGTGTGTGTGTGTGTGTGTAAAATAATAATAATAATAATTAACGGTTTATTGAAAGAGCTTGGCAGCCAGAAGGCTGAAAATATACAGTTACATATTTGGGGAATGGGTTACGAATTACAAATAATATACAAGTGACATAAGTGACACAAATAAGACATATAGTAACTTAGATGGGGATCAGCTCAAACTACAGTTCATTTCAACATAGTGACAGTGTAGGGAGCAGTGTTTACTGGGAGTGAATACACTGATTTATTACATGTTATTGATAATTTTTACAATGGTTGGGACTGGGCTGTTCTTATAGCGATCAGCTCGCGCGCGCACGGGCTGGATGCGGTTGCGGTGTCGAACAGCAACTCTCGGACAGGGGATCCCAGGTGGTAGCAGGGGCCGGTGTCGGGGGTGGTGCAGAAGCTCCTTACCAAATTTGCAGATGAGGCCGCGGTGATGTGTGTGTGTGTGTGCGTGTGTGTGTGTGTGTGTGTGTGTGTGTAAAATAATAAAATATAATAATAATAAACGGTTTATTAATAGAATTGCAGCCGGTGGCTGAAAATATACAAACTTACATGTCATTTAGACATAATAATAAACGTTCAATACATTTACAGGGCTGTACAGTACATAAATCAGGAGTTGTGTGTGTGTGAGTGACAATAACAATAATATCAACATCTCTCTCTCTCTCTCTCTCTCTCTCTCTCTCTCTCTCTCTCTCTCTCTCTCTCACACACACACAGCCGGGCAGAATAGATAGTAAAGTTGACCCCAGATGGCTTGGACAATGACCGCGTCCTGACCACTGTGACACCTTTATGGAAGTCAGACCAGCACACGGACAGGAAGCGAGAGACAGACATACAGACAAGAAGACAGATAGAGAACAATAGACAGACAGACAGACAAACAGAAAGCCAAAGGACAATAGAAAGACAGACAGACAGCCAGATGAATATAAACAAATAGACAGAAAACCAGAGAGACAGTTTAATATTATCACTAGTCAATACTGTGTAATCGCTAGAGTGATGTAGTTTAATATTACAGACAAACACGGCAGGTAATCACCCACATTACGGTAGTTATGATTGTTTTGATCTGCTGACCCGAACGAGGTGACACTGGGTCATCTTTTGTGACTCAGTTGACCTTAGATCTTGTAAGTGTTCTTCTGTTATTATTATTATTATTAGTGGTAGTAGTTTGTATGATCTGTGAAGCGACACACACACACACACACACACACACACACACACACACACACAGAGCTTAGCACCGTCATCTCCCGAGACTTTCTTAAGCTCTGGGCGACGACTTGTACAGGTTATGTGACCTGGGAAAACTGGGGGCGTGGGGTGACCTGGGGGACTGAGGGACCTAGGAGTGACCTGGAAGGACCTGGTGTGATTTCGGGACCTTAGATGACCTGGGAGCGTGGGGACCTGGAACGAGGAGGGGGAGGATAAAGAGGAGAAAGGAAGAGCGTGTAGAAGGGGAGGAGGAAGAGTTGACTGTACACTCCATCCTTCCTTGACCCCCTCTCCTCCAATTAATTTTCCTCCCTCCCTCCCTCCCTCCTACCCAGCAACTCTCTAAGGATGGTTATAGCCTCCTTTAAACCCCTTCTTCTCCCCCTCCCATGTTATCCCCCCGAGGGAGATTAGCTCTAGGGCGATTTACTCGATAAGAAATTCATCTCTAAATTACTGATGGAATCTGATTTAGTAGATAATTGTGCGTGTGTGTGTGTGTGTGTGTGTGTGTAAATCAGAGCCTCTCATACAGTAGTCATTGATCCTACCTGCTCCTGAGAGCTTTGTTCGCCATCACGGTTTAAGTTTACAACCACCCGTTAATTAAGCGTAAGTATAGATAGGGTGTAACAGAGGCGAGGGATTGAACTGTTTACATTATCAGACCAGACTGTGGCCAACACCACACTGAGATACCGGACTGTGGCCAACACCTCGCTGCAGACCAGACTGTGGCCAACACCTCACTGCAGACCAGACTGTGACCAAAACCTTCGCTGCAGACCAGACTGTGGCCAACAACCTCACTGAGAGACCAGACTGTGGCCAACAACCTCACTGAGTGACCAGACTGTGGCCAAACACCTCGCTGATAGAACACGATGCACTGCTCACCTGTTGTCCTAAACTGTATGACAAAAATGATTCCGGGACTTAGAAACCTTCCACGTCAAGATAGGTTAAAGAAACTAAACTTGCATTCCCTAGAAAGACGATGAGTGCGGGGAGATATAATAGAAATATTTAAGTGGGTGAAAGGAATCAAAAAAAAGACATCGATAAAATTCTTATAATATTCGAGCAGGATAGGGCTCGTAGCAAAGGATTTAAGTTGGATAAGTTTAGGTTTAGGAGGGAGATAGGAAGGAACTCTTTCACAAATAGGGTGGTGGACGAGTGGAACAAGCTTAGCAACTTTGTAGTAAGTGCTGGAACGCTAGATAGATTCATGGATGATAGAGAGTGGTAGTAACTCTCGACAGGAGCTGCCATGAGCAGGCCAAGCGGCCTATTGCAGACTCCTTATTTTCTTATGTTCTTATTTTAAAGTCTACTTCATTATGCCATTCTGG